AGGGAGATACACACACAGAGACACAAAATCAGAAGTCCCTCACAGCCCCCACCACCCAAGCAGCCACATCCCTTCACTAACCTGCTTTCCACCCCCAGGAGCATAACAAATTAAAGATTAATTTGTGTGTATTGTTTAATAGACTACTATATTGGGAAAGCCCACCCAATCCCAGGACCCCCTAGCGATGCCCCCCAGCCGGTCTGCCCCCCCCCAACAGTCTGAGGAACTGTGAATTGGCCCCGTTTAAAAAGTTTGAGGACCCCTGTTCTATTCTACTTCCAAATACGCTTGCAATTCAATCCTATGATTCCCAGCATGGCCAACTGATGGGGATGGTGAGCTCGGTAGCCGAACAGCTCACAGGAAGGCAGTTAATATATGGAAACTTTGAGCTGCCCCCCCCCCCGCCGTTCTCTCTACATTTGGGATGAAAATGACAGACGACCGCTATTAATTGGCCCTTTCTCTACGGACTGCCCAGCCTTTGCCTTCTGCGGTCACTCCTTCATTTACACGCTGAGCAATTAAAGTAAGGAAGGAGGCGTGCCAACAATGAACCCCTCGCCAACACTCACCGCTCTTGGAATCTTCCACCACTTCCACGCGCATCTACCCGCGTTTCCGCGATTTGTTTCTCCGCCTCCAACCTTGCGATTCTCTGACGGCGATAAGGGTTCCCTACCGCCAATCCAACTGCTCTTCAGCAATAGGAAACCGTAAAGCGTATAGGAAGGCGGTCTCTGAGGGGTAGGAGGGCGGAACGAAAGCTCATTGGAAAATGTTACCCAATCAGAAGTGGTCAAGGTAGCACGAAAGTGATACGGATGCTGGAAAAGGAGGGAAAAAACAAAGCCGAACGACCCATGCAGCCGAGGACTCACGTGACAGATGCCAGGGCGGGAGGAATGCCGGAGTTCTCGTTCTGCGCGTGCGCTGCATATGAGCTCGCGCGGCTTTTCTTCGGTTCTGGTCGTAGGAAGAGCGGGGGGACGGGGGGCTGGGTGGACCGCGGGGAAACCGCCTTATTTTTGACTCGCTTTGTTGATCGACTGTTATTAGTTGTTTTACCAATACGGGCGGAACGTTGTAGGCCATATTGACTGACTGTATTAACGCTATCTCGCTAATAGCATTTAAATAATGGAACCTAAGTTGGACAAAACACGATTAAACAATCCTTAACGAATGAAGAGGAATCTACATGTCTCAGGATAATGTTGCAGGAAGCAGTCTGGGTGAGTTACCTCTGGTCCCGGTGACCCACCCAGATTGCATCCTAAACGATCCTTATCTGGGAGTTTTCTTTGCACGGGGATTTAAATAGCAGTTAAAGAGTGGCATCCTTTGCACGTCGTTTCACCACAAGAGTCCTCCGCTCCTCTCAACAGAATAGCTTATGCCACCAGACTTGAAATTTTGGCCTTAGACAATTTAGAACTTTGCTGTCTTCGATCCCACGTAATCGTAGTACCTAAAATTACCTGCTTCAATGTCCTACCTGTCAATGACTACAGTTTCAACCACTACAACACACAAGCACACAATAGCTACAAACTCAAGGTAAACCGCTCTAAACTCGATTGCAGAAAATACTTAAGCAACAGAGTGGTCAATGCACTACCTGACACTATGGTTTCTTCCCCAAACCCCCAAAACTTTAATCTCAGACTGCCTACTATTGACCTCACCACCCCATTTCTAGGAGGTCTGAAAGGGGCATGCATAAGCGCACCAAAGTGCCCACCGCCCCTGTCCTACTGTCCCCATTTATTCGTACTCATTTCATTTATGCACGTTTACTCTGATACCTATTATCTTGTAAACTATTGACAAATAAATAAATAAATAAATAAATAATGCATGAGGAAACGAGAGAGGCTGCGCAGCAGATCGCCACGTGCACGCTGCCCTGGCATGAAACCCGTGCCTGGTACGGTGCCGAAGCTATATGGGTTAGACTCATCCGCCGCTTTGTAACCGAGGTGGTTTTCTGAACTTTACGGTAAGGGTCTTCCTGGCCCCTCCCCCTTGGCCACTGAACTGCGGGGCCAATGTGGCGCTGCTGCACGCCGCCAACTCCCTCCTTCGCGCCCGACGCTTCGGGCAGCGGGCGAGCGAGCGAGCGGCTTTAAAATGTCAAAGCTGGATCCAATTTGCCAGCGCGGGAGCGAAAGGATGAGGGGGACGTCTCTTCATCGGGGCTGAGGCAGCCCTTGCTTGTCGGACGATGAGGCTCTCTTGCAAAGTGGTGGCCCTGGCGCTCTGCCTGGCGCTCCTGCTGCTCCTCTACCTCTTGGTGGGCAACGCCGACGAGCCGCCTTTGCCAGCGGCGGGGGAAAGCCCCTCGGGACCCGTGGCCGCCGCGAACAACGTCGCCTCGCCGCTCCAGACTCGCTTCAGACCCGTCCAGCCGGCGGAGCCAGAGAAGGAAAAGGCGGCTCGGGTTTCCAAGCGGGAGCCACGTCCCCACCGAAAAGCAGGCAAACGCAGCGCGGGTCGAGCCAGAGGGAAGTCAACGAACCTTCGGTAAAGCCTTTAGAGTCGATCCCTTTCTTGCGGGTGGATCGTGTCTTGAAACAAAATGGGTGGGTCGGTCGGTCGGTCGGTGGGGATTTGGGAGAGATGGGGCCTCATCCTTCTCTCGGCTCCTAGGGCGGGAACCGGGTTTCTCCGAGAGGTACGCCCTGAGTCACGCTGGTAAACTCCGTGGGTTTTGCTTTGTAAGGGGGAGAGGGGAGTCATCGAAACTTTATCCGATTGGGGTTGGAATTCTTATTTGAGGGATTTTACTCCAAAATACAGATTGGTGCCTTCCGTATACTCTCAAACATGTGAAAGATGTATGGCGCAAGTATATTCACAGGGATACTAAGCCAGCATGCAGTTTGTATTTAATAGGGTAGAGTCCAACAATCATGTTTAATGTGTCATTTAATAATCAGGATGTGGTGGTAGGGAAATGTATATTTTTATGCATAATTTGTAAAACTGCTGATTGTATGTAATGATGTTAGAACTCTGTGTGTGTGTGTTTGTGTGTGTGTGTATACACACAGACACACTAACAGTTAAGGTTCACATCTCTCTCTCTGGAACATACATATTTGCTCATAAATATAATGTTTTGTGAGGTGGACTCACAGCTGTATACAGGATGTTAAGCAGCCTTTAGATATCCACTCAATCTCAAAATATTCTCCAGTTTTATACCCATTGACTAGTAAGTGAAAAAAATAATCAGTTGCCCAAACTGATTTCCTGAAAATGTTTCTGTATCAGCAACTGAAGTCCTCCATGCTTAATCCTTTGTTTCTGGAATGTTTATACTCTTCTCTGCTTACTATTGTTTCACTCTTAATGGTTTTCCTCTGTAGAGATAACAAAGTTTTGAATTACTTGGAAAAGATGACATGCATTGGCTTCCTGCCCTGTGTATCTATTCCAACTAAATGCTTATAGTAATGTTCATAACTGCTAGTTTACATGTTGCTGGAAGCTACGTGGGAATTTGTCAGCAGTTACACATTGGAGTTTTCTGGTGTCTGCTTATTTGGGAAAAGAAATAAAGAAGCATGGCTTAACACAATATTCGAACAAATAGAGAGACAGTTTGGTGAAATGATTCTAGCCTGGCGCCAGGCTAGAAACTAGGAGACTGATTTCTAGTCCTTAGACATGAAAGCCAGTAGGGTGTCACTGGGTCAGTCACTCTGTTAGCCCAGCTCACCTCACAGAGTTGTTTTTGTGGGGAAAGAAAAGGAAGGAGGATCATTAGGTATGTTCACTGCCTTCAATTGTTTATAAAAAAATAATAAAGGCAGGATATAAATAAAATTAATAATGTCCCAATTCCAGGTCCTTGGGAAGGACTTGACAGGTGGATAAAAGTGCCAAATCCAGTTTAAACATCTGGGTGACTGCAACAAACCATAACATTAAAAATAGACACTTAAGTTCTAAATTTTATCAGATGCATGGAGGTTGAACTAGAAAAAGAGAAGAGCAATAGAGATGATGAGAGGCTGGATGTTAAATCTTCAGGAAAGTTGAAAGGACAAGGTGTTTAGCTTAAAGAAAAGAAGGCTAAAGAGGAGCATGATAGCAATCTTCCATAACTTGAAGGATTGTTGCAGGGAAGCGGGTGTAGATTTATTCTCTATAGTGTCTTAGCATAAAGCAAAGACCAGTTAGTGAGATGCAAACTCAAAATAAGGAGTAATTTTTGACTATGAGATCTATGAAGCAGTGGGATCGGTGCATCCTGCAGTCATCTTGAATGCTCCATCGTTGGAATTTTTTTAGAAAAAGGTTGTGTCAGGGTAATGATTTGAGAGCTGACCAGCTGCTACAATACTATAATACTGGGAATGAGTCAGCAAGCTTTTTGGGCTAATATCACTTTAAGAGCCTGTAATAAGAAGAGGCCCTCTTGGGGGGGTATCTCTCTCTCCTTGTGTGCTGTAATTGCTGTTTGATTGAGGTCTGACTAAAGTACATATATGTATATATTCTTTGTAGATAAAACCACTATTTATATATAAACCTTGCTTTACTGTATTTGCTCCTTGATTGTCTCACATGTTCACACTGTGCACACTCTGACAGGTTGGTTAGGCATTTCCTTAGGACATGTGAGGATTCCTGCAGTGGATGGATTCAACCACCAACAATGATTCGGATCAGGATATTAGCAATTTTAATTTTTTTAAATTTTATTTAGTTATTAAATTTGTATGCCACCCATCTCACTATCAAGTGACTCTGGGCAGCTTCAAGTACCATAAATAATAAAATAAAAGATTAAAACATTAAAATATGGGGCATTAAAAGTTAAAACATTAAAACTAATATTAAAGTAAATAAAAAGAAGCAATGTATATTTGAGTGCAAGTGGGACTTTCTACCAATATATTAGCCACATCTAAAATGGGACTGCCCCATCAGGGTCCCAAGCCAGTTTGCCGAACCAGATTTTATGGCTCTTTTGGAAGGTCGAGAGAGTAAGATCTCATCTTGGAGGTCAATGATATTCCAAAAGATAAGAGCCATGGCAGAGAAGACTCTTCTCCTGGCCCCATCAACCACAGTTCTTGGGCCAATATGATCTAGAGCATGCCCCTTCTCCCAGAGTAAATGGGGTGGGATAATCCTATTGGGCTGAGATGATTCCTTAAGTGACCTGGACCCATGCCACAAAGGGCTTTAAAGATACCAATACCAATACCGTGAATGAAACCTGAAAGCAAACTGGGTAAAGCAATAACTTATTTTCCCTATGGAAATAATGGAACCAAAAAAATTACCATTAGTTTATCCAGCTTAAAAGCCCTATTTTTTTCATCCAAATATGGACTGAGCCTTACTTTTACCATATAAAAGATCAATCTTAAAAAGCAGCTCTTGATTTGTTCATTCTACATGGTTCCACTGATTACCAAATGTCACGACAGGTGTGTGGCTTTACCGATGCTCGTCTGATAATACGAGGTTGAATAATTAACCAAACAGTCAACATGCTTTTAATTTAAGACATTAATTACAGCTTTTTATATAATAGCAATTAGAAAAACATACTGCAATTTATGCCTGTTATGCTACTTAAGAAAAATAGGGTGAGAATAAAATTGCTAGACAATAATAGGCTTTTAATTTGGTAAAGTACAAATAATTGCTGCATGCTTTCTCTGGGTTGAAATAAATTGCTCTCACCCCCTTTCTTAATCAGGGCGACCTCATCTATCAAACAAAACAGGTCTGCCTTTGATTCATGGTTGCACAGAAATGAAAGAATGCCCCATTTTCTGAGATCTTATTCTTTATCCTATTAAAGCTCCAGGTTCCTAACTAGCCTTGTATCTGATTGAGAAGAAAGAACGTTTACTGTGACCACTAGTGAATCATGGATGGAATTCAAATGGCTGCATTAAAGCAGGATTCTTTCTCTGTTAGCTGCTGTGCCTTCTGAAGTCATTTTTCTTCAGAGCATATCTTAGATGATCAAGAACATTTCAGCCAGTAGCAAATGAATACATTACTGTGGGGAAGGGGGGAAAAAAACCTCTGGTGAAAAGGACAAGAAAGGATGTAACCTTACATTATAGTTAAGCTGACTTGAGGGTGGTGGAGGAGAAGGATATAGTGAAAGCCTTTACATGTGAAAAGATCAAGGCTCTGCTTTAGCTAAGGTGCTGGAGACTTACTTGGATAAGTTTACTTGAAAGAGGTTGGAAGTGGTTTTTCCTTCTCAGTCACTGAACTTTCCTACTGTGCTCCCATCCTTCGCTCACCAGTTCTGATCCTGCTCAACTTTTCTGAACTGAGATCAAATAAACTAGATGTCCTCATATGAACACAATCAGAATTCTTACCTTGCATGAACAGAATATTAACTGTGCCTCTGTCATCAGAAAGATATTGGGGGGAAATGACAGGGATTCGGCACATATCTGTGCTGGTCGAGCAGTTAGAGCAAAGACAAAGGATGAGTAGGATAGAAGGACAAACTACCTTTTGCTTGCTGAATATAGCAGAACTGGGGTGTGGTGTCTGCCACAAAATTGGTGTGAGGGAAAGCCTCCCATTTAGCTGAATAGAAAGGAAAAAGCAATGGTAATTAAGAATAGCTGCTTTCAATGGAGGGCATTCCATATGCCACAATGGAATATAACCTATGTTGCAAATCAGCAGTGGGTTTTAGCAATTCCAACTCAAAAGGTTTACAGCCTTTAAAGTTCAAAAGGGAACTTCAGAAGAAAGACACTTTGCTTAAGTCTGTTTACTGCACACATGTGGGAATGCAAAGTAGTATTTCCCTTCTTAGAACATTAATGGCCAGCTGAACCTGGAGCTTCTGTTGTTACCTCATTCAGGGATTTTGTGCTATGAAGAAGCAATGTGCATACAAGGGATCGCCCTTGTAGGCTGAGATGGGTGGTGTATGGTATACCACCCTTATATAATCCTATCTCTCTTCCTTACATGCAGGTAGTCATTGATTTACTACTGGTCAATATGTCTCCCAAAAAGTAATTAAGATCTAGTTCTGGAGTTAGAATGTACAACCCCAGAGTCACATTGACTGCATTTTGGGCACTTGGCAAACAGAGTGTATTTATGGCCATTTGTTGTGCCCCATGGTCACACGACTGTGATTTAATGACTTTTTTTTTTATAATCAATATTTACTTCTGATTTTCGGCTAAAACTCTCCATAGTGAACAATGGGTTCACTCAGTGATTGCAGCATTCACTTACTAACTGCAGATTCATGTAATAATGGTGATTCACTTAACAACTGCCACAAAAAGTAATGGTAAAATTGCTTTATAACCATCACAATTTACAATCATAATGGATAGGCTCCATTATGATTGTAAGTCATTGGATAAGTGCTTTGCTAGTCTTGCACTGAAAAATGAATACAAATAAGGGAGAATCTCTTAAGGAAGGAGAATAGGAATTTATCTCTTAAAATTTATTTTATCTGTTTTGTTTCCTGAAACTTACAATATTGCCTACAATGCCTA